CGCACAATCGAAAGACTCTTTACATTCTGTGATGGAAATAATTTAAGAAAAACTGCTCCCCCTCCCCACTAACTAACGTGCCGTTTTCCATTACTCTGCCAAATGTTGCCACCCCTTAAGCCCTATTAGCCACCACCCCAGCCACTCCCCCACAGCCAGCCTTGCCCCAGGGAACCCGAGCCCCATTACATCGGGCGATGTCGATTAAAGCGCTTGTGATTGGTGTAAACACGTGCAGGCCCCGTATTTACAATAGGGCAAAACAACCGTGCGATTTATGATCGGGCCAATCGTGTGTGAGCTGGACTGACACAAACTTAAAATGAAAATGCTGCTTGCGCAGTCTTCAAAATGCGACTTTGCCAGACTGCTGAGGTTATTGGGGGCATCCGTGGCAAAGCGTCCATGTGTGTGTTGGATGGTGGTGGGGGGGGGTTTGGTTTTGTCCGCGTGTGTGAGTGAGTGCATAAGCATGTGTGCGTGTGCGTGACCATGTGCAGAGAGAAGAGGGCAGCGGGTGGGTGGCAAGAGCAGCGAACGTCGGGAAGGCAGTGCCACGTGGTACGGCATTCATCCCAGCTGTTGTGCTTCCAAGAGACGTGCCTCGACCTGCAGAGCACGTTTCTAAACGTGGCTTGGCAGGGCCAGGCACGATCACACACAAGGCATTGTGCGCGCGATATTTAGACTTGGACGGCAGGGAATGTCCAATGCGCACTGAGACCCATGCCCCCTTTGCAGCATTGGTTAGGGTTGCCACCATTGAGGTACAACAACAGTGGGACATATCATGGGAAGAGGAACATTTCACAATACTAAAAGATGGGTGAACTATATGTGAATGCATTGTCTTCAGTGGTATATTATTACACAACTGACAAAAGCTCTGACTTCTAATGTTCTGGGAAAACTTAAAGATTTCTCAGGACAGGCACCTCAACAAGATGCCGATTCGGGGAAACCCAGGACAGGTGGCAACCCAAGCATTGACACATTTGGGAGTTTTTAAATAATTGTTGCTCATAACAATAAATAGTTGACAATTCACACAGAGAATGTACCGTGACCTAATAATGTCATGGGCAGTGTCCCTTCTTGAAGTTAGTAAAGAAAATAAATGTTCCATAAGAAGACCGTCTTAAATTCGTGTGTATTACCTGCCATCATATATGGATTATAAACATGCACTCTGATAAACAAAACATGGAACAAAAGCTGAACAGTGTTTAAATAAACCTGGAGATGTACATCCCTGGAATTATATTGGTAGAGAAAGAGGTACACACTGATAAGAAAACAAGTTAGGGACATTATATTAACTTTCATAATACAGTTCTTTGGGTTAGAGCCCATAAATGTAATTGTGCTGTAAACCCACCTCCACCCGAATACAGCCAATTAGTAAGGTTTGTCACGTGAACAAAATGTGCCAATTAGGTACGACTTCAGCACACCGGTGTGTTGGAGATCAAACCCACGATACAATTAAGTACGGCCAAGATTCATCTGGAAATTTCCAATTTTGGCAATTGGCTGAATCAGACAATTTTGGATATTTCCTGATGAAACTGGTTTTAGTCAATTTAACACGTAGGCTTTCGCGACCAGTATTATTCATAATAAAGGTTTTTGGGTTAGATCGCATGATTATAAATGTGTCACAACCGTCCACCACCCGACACGACCAATCAGTAAAAAATGTGTCACGTTACCAAAACGCCAATTAGTTACTTCTTCAGCTCACCGATTTGTTTGAAGAGTGAATCTTCAACATTTATAATTTGAGTACGACGTTTCGCTGCTAATTACATCCCGCATCTTCGGGCGATTTTCCAGAATAGTTGTAGTCGCCAGAGAAACGCCGTACTCAATTTGTATATGCTGCATGTATGTTTACTGTAAATGTTAGGTAGTCTTTGTAAGTGGGGATATTATTTATAAACATCAGCCAGTTTTACTGCACTACAGAATACTTGTTCCTGACATTTTGTGTGAAGTTAACCATTAAATTGCTTTGATTTTCTGCCTGCAGTGAAACTGGAGAAGGTCATTCGTGAAATATTTGAGCCAAAGTACAGTGTTGTAATATAATTTCGCAATTCTGAGTCCATGTGAGTGAGAGCCCAATGATGTTAAGGACAATGGCCTCATCTAATGGGGAAGGACCGAGCCACCTCTAAAAACCGGAATGACGTCTGCTGTCGGCATTATCAATTATTTCCCGTGCCTTGCTGCACAGCGGTGGTCATGGTTATGTCTCCCAAGAGGTATTGATTTGCCTTAGAGAGGCAGTTTGCAAATGTCTCTCTGTAAATTCAAGGAGAAAATAAACTATAAATGTTTCACCGCCCGGAACGGGCGCTGCAGTGCTGACATTATCAAACGGCTCGAAATGGAATGAGATTTCGAGACAATACAAATGAGTTCAACTGGACACCATTTGGTCAGAGTTGGTCTCAGTTTCCTGGGGTTCCTAGTCACAATTATTGTTCAGGCACATAGCCCTTTTATAACTGATTGGCCACTGTGCCAATGTCGTAGCTAATTGTGGAGCATCCCTTAATTGTCTCTTCGTGATTGCTTGTTGAGACTCGATGCCCTTGAGCTGTACTGGGCGTTTCCTCTCCGGAGAGGCTACGTGCAAAACACGGCACAGGCATACACAAGCGTGTTCCTCTACACACCAGCCCTTGGATACACTGCCAGGGGGTCATTGAATCCAGTCAGAGGTGGAAGGCTACCAGCGATTGGTTTGCTCTGAGGCACTCTCCCAGCATCCCTTGGGTGTTTGCTACGGTCTGTAGATAATAGCTGTACTACTGCTGGCAGAGGTGATGACCTGTCTGCCTGCCTGCCTAGCTGCCTGTCAGTCTGTTGTTTTGGAATGATATTTGTGCCGGGCAATTGCTGACAGGAGCATAGAGCCTGTTAATGACATAACAGAGACGAAGATCCCCCGTGTAGCCTTCACAGACTGTTGGGACAATTGCTGTTTGCGAGCGCCTATGAAGGCCGGCGTTGCACACTAGGGGTTGAGTGGCCAGCACCACGCCTGGCTGCCTTTGTCTCCCCAGTGTCGATGTTTACACATTGGATCAGGTACTAATTTGAGGCTGATTCGACCTCGGGATGCCCAGGACCGATTCAGATAATCGACACTGGTGTTGGCTGTAAGCGGGAATAGAACTTGGGTTTGTAGCGCAGCACGCTGACCGTTGCACCACCGCTCCCCACGTAATGACAAAACACACACAAATAAGAATGCGTCGTATAAGTAGTGTGATTCAATAAATGTTTTTTTATTGCACCCTGATTTTTATTTTTAAGCACGGGGTGAAGCTATGGTTAAAGGTTCGTGCTTAGGACTACGGTTTTAAATGTAGCCACCGTGAATGCCACTGCATTTGTTCTCACGCTGCCTGTACAGGAATAGCAAATGACAAAGGACCTCGAACACTCGGGGTGACGTGGCCTGGTAGTATCGCATTTGCCGGCTTGTTGTTGCGGAGGTTCATGGTTCGAATCCAACGGCCGCCCTGATTAATACAATGGGCTTAATGATCATAATCATATATGCCATCTGCTTCACGGTGGACGTAGAGATCCCCTGATGTAATGTGTAAGTCGGTCATTGTGTGCGGGCATCGGGGTCCTAGTTTGCCGTATTTGAAAATTGCTCGCAAATTATTCGGTTGGGATTATACATGCCAATCACTGCCCCCTGCTGGAAAACTTATACCCCAGGTCACTCTTGCAAATGAGACCACCCTTGTCTCTTAAGTTCTTACCTGCTTTAGAATTTTTTTTTTACTTTAAACTAAACTAACAAAAGATTACTATACCTTATTCATAAAACATGTTGACTGCCACTTGCATGCACGAATACATGTGTGCCATTTATAAACATACACATGCATGTGTATACAAATAGATGTGTGCCAATATTATGTACGTGTGCAGTGCTAAATGGATGATTATTGTCGGTACGATCATCGTATAGACAACAATCAATGTACGTGCATGGCAGTATTAAATAGTATTTTGTTGAGTGCTAGCTAGCCTTTCAAGCTAGAAAGCAGAAACGCAAGTGTAATCCTGCAGGGATAAAAGAATTTCTAACGGCATGTACCAAAATGCTACAAAAACACGGGTAACATATTTGGCTAATGTTTTGCAAATGTACGTTTTCTGCTGCAAGAGCCGCCTGCCTTGTGGGCTGTAAGCAATACACGGAGTGGACGTGCAGGACTTTTCACTCCTCTTTTGTCAATGCACTGCTGGATGAGGCCATCCCCCATCCCGTGTGGGTCGTGGCACTTACCTGGTTAATACTTCACCATGCTGGTCAGTGCGAGTTGGTTTGTCCGTCCCCTCCCTCCTCGCACCTCCGATTAGCACAGTTGGCTACGTACGGTGCAAAAGAAGTTCAACATACAAACATAGTATTGACACGTCGGCATAGAATGACGGTACAACAATGGATGTCTGCTGTAATGCCCTCTGCTGACCACAATGTAACCCCGCAGCCACCTATATAAACCAGTTTTGTTCATGTTGGTCACCCATCCAAGTTTTATCCAGGCTCCAACCTGCTTAGCCTTCAAGATCTGGCGAGAGCTGGTGCATTCTGGTTGATGTTTTCGGAGGGGACGCGGGCTCTTTTGTTGCACCGGCCACGCGATTCGCTGATTACCCAGCATCGCAAGATGATAATTACACGAAACAACACGATACGTTTTGAAAAGTATATTTAAAGTAAATATAAACACAGCTGGTAGCACAGTGGATAGTGCGCTGCCCTTTGAACCGGGCGACCCGTGTTCAACCGCTGGCCGTGGATAATACCAGTGGCGAGTGACATGTGAACCGGTGATCAGTGTCCCAAGGATGATCAAACAACAGTCACAGCTTGGAAAGGCCCTCGTCCGGCAGTAGATTGTCAAAAGGGCTTAAATTATCATTACTGTATTCAAAATAACTGCCACATTACAGCGAGCGAATCAAGTGTCAAATGAGTTGTGGGCTGCGCTTACGTCTGTTGGAGGTCCTGTGCAAGTTTTCCTAAATTTCACATTCCTATCGTGAGGACCGAGTCTTTGAATAGAATGGCCGCTGTGGCGTTCCGAGTTACGTGTGGCGCTCACGTAGCGCCACAGAACTCGTCCACACTGAAGTGCTGCGTTGACCCTGACCGGGATTTGAATGTGTGACTCGAGTGGCTGGGAAACACACCTGCTGCTGTACCAGGTGAGCTACGTCTCGGCCACTAGTTACAGCAACATATGACCTCATCGCCGTCTGTCTAAGTGATCCCACCGCGCAACTCCCTTGCTGCTGTATTCCTTCTGCCAGATCCGATCGTTATTGCAGTCAACACCTGGTCTCAAAGGTCCGTTCGTACAGTCCTCAGTATTGCCAACATCTGGCGTTAGATCTTCCCCGAGGTCACAGACCTCTGTAGGTCACTCCCATGCCTGTCTCGGTAACCTTGCCCCATCTCCTCCATCCTACACACGTCCCACATTTTCATCGTTTCTTCTGTCTGAGTACACCTCCTGCACAATGCTTTCTTGCCACATTCTATGAACCCTATTATTTCACAAGCTGTTCAGAATACTCTGCGCCTGCATTCAAAATCGAGAAGCATCCTTGTTTAATTCCAGTATTATAGTGCAGCTTTTTGACTCGACACAAACGTGACTCCAATCACAGTTTTCTTGTTAAATTGTCTTCCCGTGAGCAGGTCTATGGCTCAAGCTTCCTCCATCCCATCAACTCTCACTCCTTGTTCTGCGCCTTGCGACACCGACCTTCGTGCGAGGGTGCTTGAGCCATACCTATGGAGGAATAATTGAGGTGATCTTTTCTTGCTTTCCTCCACTGTTTTTTTTTGGATGATACCATCACCAGATGCAGTTTAACATCATACCACGGACAACACAATACACTACTGTGTATGAAATAAATGCAGATGACATGCCCTTAACTCGGCATTCAATAATACAATTGCCTAATAAATTACAGCAAGTTCCACGACAATATTCCATACATTTCATGACTTTTTCCACCGAGGAAACTTTCCGATTGTATTTTGTTTTGCTGGACCAGCAGTCGGGCGCACATTCCTCTTGCTTAGGCGAGCAGAGAGGCCGGAAACGGTGAAAGTAGGAACCCTTGAGCCCTCTCCACCGTCCGATGCTCCGCGGAGCGGAACATTAAACGCGCCATCTGTGGGATTTCTCCACATCTGCCCAGGGATCGGGTTAGGAGCGTGCCGGCCGTTTCCTGTGTATACAGGGGCACTTGTGTGTGTGGGTGCGCGCGTGCATGTGTGTTGGTGCGCGCGCGCACGTGCGCGTGTGTGTGTGGGTGCGCGCGCGCGTGTATGCGTGTGTGGGTGCGCGCGCGTGTGTGTGTGTGGGTGCGCGCGCGCGTGTATGCGTGTGTGGGTGCGCGCGCGTGTGTGTGTGTGGGTGCGCGCGCGTGTGTGTATGGGCGGTAGTGTAGCGGTTAGCGCGCTGCACTACGAACCTGGCGACCCGAGTTCGATTCCCGCTCACGGCCAACATCGGTGATGATTATCTGAACCGGTCCTGGGGCTCCCTTAGGTCGACTCGGCCTCAAATGAGTACCTGGTGCGGTGTGTAAACATCGCCACTGGGGAGACAAAGGCGGCCGGACGTGGTTCTGGCCACCCCACCCCCTCGTGTGCCGTTCTGGCCTTCATAGGTGCTCGCTAACAGCACTTGCTCCAACAGTCTGCTACAGGCTACACGGGGGGATCTTTGTCTTTTGTACAGGCGTGCGTGATTGCCTGCATGTGCATGCCTTTGTCCACCAAGTATTGACCCCGCTCGTGCTGCCAGGTTTTAAATCGGGTCGGCTTGGCACCCTGCCGCCGCAGAAGGTGTGACTGCACACACCTGCCTTTCACAATAGGTGTGTGTGTGTGTGTGAAGGCACACGTGTTGACCGTGTAGTATTCGTGTCGGATTGCACACTATTGTTTTTCACATGTCGTTCGCTTCCAACGCTTTCACGCGACTAACACCTGCAGCCATGGGGCTCTATCAATTGTGTGCTCGGCTTACGGAGGCCGCGTCCCGACGGACTTTCACCACTTTTATGTTGTTTGTAAACATGCCCACGTGTGTCCCGGGTGCCTCTCTGGGTTTGTCCACGAGCGCTTGTTTTGCTCATCCGTACAAAAGGCCACCACGTACATTTATTGCATTTTATGCGGCGTTGGAATATGGCAAAAATTGAAGTGTAGATATCGAGTATAAATAAGGCGCAATTCACCCCAAGTTGTGATGAATAGTCAAGATAAAAAATATGAATACACCCACCTGCATGTACAAGCTTCCGGCAACGTGGAATGCATTTAGATGCTTTGGGTAAATCCACATTGTATCTGTAATTTATTGCGATTGCAATCAAGGGTCAATCTTTCTTATATATTGCGGTGAATGATAGCCCCTCCGAGTTGCTGCATGGGTGTACATAAAACCATTACATAACAATATACTTGTTAAAAAACGGCAATTTGTGATTCGATGCATGCATGGCGATGATAAGACTCAATATTAATCTATGAATCGATGCTTTGTTCAACTGCTGATGTGTAATACTCTCGTACGCAGTGCAACTCTGCAAGGGATTCTCATAGAATGCTGATGGGTGCAATATTTAATAATAATTTCACCGTGTGTGACGGCGCTTTCAAAGAAAAGTACTGAAGTCAAGAGCCTGTGATTGGTTGGTGCACCAAAAAAAACTTAGTGGAAGAGTGTCGGCTATTCCCCCCCCCAAATTGTATTTAATGCAGCTCGCGCAGTACAGGAAATGAATAAAAACAGTGGCGGGATTTGTCGTAGGGTTGGGGAAGGGTGACTGCAGCTGTTTAAAGTATACGGTAACCTCCCAACATTTGAATAAATATTTTGTTAAACGGCCAGAATGAACAAGAAAAAAAATTCTCATTCTGTAGTCATGGCGATGACCAATAAAAAAAATCCGTCCACCCCCCCCCCCGTTTGAAAAATCTAAAAGTTAGGCTCCTATTTCGGATTTTGTACAAAGTGAAAGTTCGCGCGTTTGTTTGCTTGTGCCGACTGAAGGAAAAAAGAATACCGCTTAAATACAGCACTGCACAGCGAATATCTGGAAAGTGTATATTTATTACGTACTGCTGAGAAATAAAATATTCACTTGAGAGTTTTACCTCGCATTCTTTTGTCTGATGAACGCATCAGTTACGATCTGATTCCTTGCAAGTAGTTGAGTCCATTAATTCACACTTGCGGTGTATATTTCTCGGCTGTTGAAACTGAATTGCCGCAAATACATATGCAACTTTCGCAAATAAAATCGAGCGGTTCCCATGCATTTCTCCCGCTGCCTATATAATGTCATTGCTAAGAGACATGCAGAATGCACTGGGGCATGTGCTTTGTCAGCACTTTCTAAATAAACATCTTTTGTGAGCTTACACTTCAGCATACACGCCTTCTACAAGCGCCGTAAATCTTACAGCGAGTCTTGCTTCGTCGCAAGCTGCAGTGCAATCTTCCAAGCAAATTAAATGCTCTCATGCGTGTGTATATGGTCAAAGTGAAATCTCCTCCACTTGCTCGCTCACGCCCCTGCTGACAGAAGGGCCTCCACTAGAGGGGAGCTCTCAAGAGCCACCCTCTAGAGGAGGGGTATTTGGCCTACTTCTCCACGCTGGCTAGACATCTCAGAAGAGGTGGGAGTTGCTTCCCCCAACCCCCCCCCCCTCCATTTTTACCCCACCACATGTGAGAGCTGCTGACTGACTAACTGTAGAGAAACATGTTTTTTTCTCTGCTGGGTGGAGAGAGGCGGGGTGGGGATTTGAGAAAACTTGCCCCATTGTTTCCGCTGCCATGCCGGGAGATCGAACCGGCGACATCTGGAAGTCCCAGTGTTCTCGACAGCATTGCTGCTTATATGCCATCGGACGTAGTTCCGTTAAAAGTTTCAAATTCTTCAAGGTTTCCGATCTCATTGATTTGTTTCTGATTCATTGTTATTGTTTTCGAGTGAACGTTACACTCCTTGCACGCTCAGTCGTCCATCGATGGAATGCTTTATTTAACCCAGGTGGGAATCCATGGAAAAACAACACATCTCTTGCCCAGGAGGAGGAGGTCTTGATACAACTAAGTATCGTAGTGCTCTCGTTCCTGCCACTTTACTTCACACCATGCTGTGGGACAGAGCCTCACATGCATCAACTCGGCCTGAAATGTTGTCTTGTGTTTAGAGTTTATTGGAATTGTTACGTGGATGGTTCCCGTTTAGCCAGTTGGCCAGATCGTTTACAAGGTGAATCTGTGGTGCTGCGTGACCAAAGCAGCAGCAGTACAATCAAAAGACAAAAAATAGGGTCCTTCAGGAATATCACACAACTAACTAACGAGGTATTTGATGGTCGTTAATGAAACGCAAACACACATAGGCGAGTGAAAAAAAACCACCCAGTGCCAATATAATACGAGGGGCCACAGAGGCGCCAGAGAAAACAAACGATGGCCACATTGATGAAAACCTTCAGTGCGAAACTGCGTGACGTGTGTAAGAGTGTAAGAAAGTGAGAGCGTCGGGGGAGAAGACGGTCGGGCGGGATGTAACGGTGGCCCAGTGCGGTGCCGGCTACCCACAAGGCCACCAACGCACCTTGGCAACGAGCGGTCTTGCGGTTATTGCGCTATCAATCCGTGAGAACGTTGCACGCGGTTATTTATTGACGTTCATTCCATTGTTTCCTCCGTTCATCCGCCACGTTTGGTACATATTGCCGGCCGCTCAATTGAGATGCATTTTGCAGGCCTTGGTGGGGGTGAGGTGGGCAGAAACACGGGAGTGCGATAGATGTTTTTTGCGGTTTTGTCCAGAACCATTCTTCAACGCCATTCTCAAGGTTTAAAATTTTTTTTTATTTCGTGCAATCCCATGCTGTGCACATGCGCCCACAAAAAAACACACGCACATACACCCATGCGTTTACACGCAAAGATTTTAAAAAAATCCCCCGTGTAACTTTAACAGACTGTTGGGGCAAGTGGTCTTGGCTCGCACAAATTAAGGCCAGCACCACGCCCGGCCGCCTTTGTCTCCCGAGTGGCGATGTTTTACACACACCGCACCAGGTACTCATTTAAGGTTGAATCGCACCAGGTACTCGTTTAAGGCTGAGTCGACCTAGGGAGAGGCCCAGAACCGGCTCAGACGATAGTCGTCACTGGCGTCGGCTGTTAAGCGGGAATCGAACTTGGGTCTCCAGGTTCGGAGCTACCACCAACACGCAGAGACAGGAGACACGTGCGACGCGTGAGTCCGTGCGTGCGACGCGTGAGTCCGTGCGTGCGATGCGTGCGCGTGCCCGCGACTCGCTCTCGCGTTCCGGCATCGCCCCGGCTGCTCCGGAACAGCGGCACGACACGCCGAGCAGCGCCGCTGCCGCTGCCGCTCCGCTCACTTTCGGCGCAACATTCGCCGGGCTCCTCTCCGAAAGCCACTCGCAACACGCGGGGGGGGGGGGGGGGGGGGGGGGGGTCAGTGTGGGACGGGGTGCTGCCGCAGAGTCGGTAATGAAACCGGGCGTTTTATGGAGGAAAAAGCACCAAACCGGAAGATTCTGTCACATAAATCACGCTCATTTTTCCAAACGCCTGGCATGTGATATTCAAAAGGAGGCGGTTGTTACTCCCCCCCCCCCACACCGCCGCCCCCCCCCCCGTCCCATCCTCCACACGTGTAATTTAACTCTGCGGCTGGAGCTTGTTGAGGACTCCTGATCATTAACGCTGCAAATTGCCTCCCTTTTTTGC